CACTCCTCGGAAGGAAGGTTGGGCAATCCTACTTCCGTAGTGATACTGCCTCGGAAACCCAAGGAGGGGTCGCTATGAGTCAGGTTTGACTCGACGGCAAACAACAACAACAACAACATCTATAATAGTGTAGTAGTTGGGAAAGTAGGAGAACAGATAAGTGGCTTCACATCTGCTGTTTTTTTTTCCTCTGTGTTCTAAAATAGTCTCATCTCTCTGAATATCTGAAATTTTAATATACAGTATCTAGGAGTGATTGAGCAACTGATTTTGGTATTAGCTTTTTTCTAATATTCAAACACATATGAGACTAACATACACTGAGAAATTTCTTCCAGAAGGGAAGCTTCCTTGAGCTAATGGTTCTGGGAAATTGCTTGCTAAGTATTGAAGGAACGTGTCTATGGAAGTAAATCTATCCATGACAGTGGGAAGGTCTGCCAGCTGATACGGCTACCCTTTCTTCTGTCCTGGACACATGATCTTAGATTTTATCTCAGGTACCTTTTTCTCCTTACTTCAAACCCTTAATTTTCTGCTACAACTTTTTACCATCTCTTGGTTTCTGCTTTTGTACATGATTCTGTTTGCCAAAAGCCAAACTGAAATTATAGTGGTAGTTGAATTTGATAATGGATCTGTTCAGGTTTGATTTTTGATTATACATAGTTCGAATCTCAACAGAGTGGTGAATTAATGTGAACTCTGAGGACCTGGAGGTATGTATGGCTGTGCATGATGCATAAGCCTGGGAGCACCCTGCTGTCCTCCATGATACATGCTGCTTCACCAAGTAGGTCAGCAGTCATTTGTGCTTGGATGTTCTCAGACTAGATCAGCCTTGGCTACCTTTCCTCTTGCCCTTTCACTCGTTTCTATTTCTAACCATTACCTTCAAACATAGTTCAAAGGGGTCTTTGTACTCCTTCTGTGTACTACCAAAGCCCTTCACTCTCTATAACCTGGCTTCTGCGTTATTAAATGAAATATGTGATCTGAATCTCTCTGTTTGGTTTATGTATGTCACATAATGTAAAATTTATAGAATTTTGTTTATGATTAAATAAAAACATTCATTCTTTTTAGTATTTATACCCCTTTCTGTAAAGTTGAGCAGTGAGGCTTTGGTCAGAAATTAATTCTCATCAATTAGACCTGTTACCATTTTCATTTACAGCACCTTTTGTACAAGCCTAACGTCTCATAAAGTGAATTGCTAAGAAAACTGTTTTGCCTTTGTTTGTATTTAATAGTACTCAGGATAATTTTCTCATTTTTTGAAGGCACTGTCAGTATTCTCTACTGTGAGAACAACTGAACTCCAGAGACTCTGAATGTGTGTTGAGGATCTTATTGTCTCTGGGCTTAGCTCTCTGCCCTTGTAGGGCCCACTGGCAGGACTGGCACAGGGCTGGCTTTATTATTGTTGAATATCTTGGCAGGAATATCCAGGCATGGGTCTCAACAGGTGTAATATTATGGGAAGCACCATCCTGGAACCAAGACACTCTGAGTCAAAGTTGCTTTCCCTTGAGGATAATTTGCTATTTTAGTGGCTTAACAGAATTTAATGTGTTTGGTTCTACAGAGTGAATGCTCCTTACCTATCTGTACAATAAAAAATGAGTAACATTCTACAGGGGCCCATTCTGAACACTGGTATTGCAAAGTTTCTGCAGTAACCTTTTTCTTTTAAATGCTGCTCCGAGTTCCAGAGACAATTTAAAGACATAATGGGGGGGGGGGGCTAAAGCCAACAGAAACATTATTAGGAGGGAAGGTTAAATTTTTGGTTTGTAATGTTTCCTATATTTTCCATTATTCAGATTCTAAATTGTTCCTAGAACTAATTTTCCTTGTCCTTTGGGAAGGCAAGTTAAAGGGTCAAATTCAAATTAAAGGCAGAAGATCTATAGCAACCAGATTGGAATGTTTTCTTGGATTCCATGAGAAGGACTTGAGACTGATCAGATTGGGGACAATAGTGATACAGACATGAACTGTGAGAGCTGTGAGAGTTAAAGAGAACTGGACTGGCTTTCTCTGGTAGTTTGTCATCTGTTTTGGGTATTGTTTCTTCAAGTCCACTGGTTCTCCTGTTGGAAAAATGGGAAGAGGTGATGGAGAGTGCTGCAAGTGCCCATAAATAGTATTTTGCTTTCTGGTAAATATGTTCACCTCTGATACTGTCTCCTCATATCTGATAGAAAAACAAAAACCAAACGGACTGCCATTGAGTCAATTCTGACTCACAGCGACCCTCTTTGGGTTTCCAAGGTGGTAAATTTTTATGGAAGTAGTCTTTCTTCCACGGAGTGGATGGTGGGCTTGAACCACCAACCTTCTGGTTAGCAGTCAAATGCCTTAGGCACTACACCTGTGTTGAAATCACTAAATTCATGTAAAGCCTACTGTGAGCTCTACAGTAGTTAGTACTGTATGAAAGTTCTCTTTTGTTCTTAATCTGTATGTATTCTCTGATTAAGATCTCTTTTCCTTATTCCCAATTTATATTCTGTAGAGACTAAGAATAGGGGCTCACCAGTGTTTGAATTGAATTAGCAATAGCAGAATTAGAGAAATTAAAGGCATTATTTATTTCCATTTAGTCTTAATAATTAATAGTTTAAAAGATGGAAGAAATTGGACTGTATTTTTGAGAACAGTTTTAGAGTTATAGAAATATTAGAAAGAAAGTACAGGAATTTCCTGTGTACCCTGTACTCAGTTTTTCCTAATACTAACATCTTACATTAGTGTGACACATTTTTTATAATTAATGAACCAATATGGATATATTATTGTTAACTGAAGTCCATACTTTATGTATATTTCCTTAGTTTTTACTTAATGTCTTTTTCTGACCCATGATACCATTAGGTTGTCATGCCTTTTTAGGCTTCTCTTGGCTGTGAACTTTCTCAGACTTTCTTCAGTTTTGATGATCTGTCTGACAGTTTTGAGAAGTACTGGTCAGGTATTTTGTATGACTGGCATTATGGGTTTTTGGGAAGAAGACCACAAAGGGTACAGTGTTGTTCTCATCAAATCACATGAAGGGTACATGTCACCAACTTGATTTATGACTTAATGTTTTACTTGATCACTTGGATGAGGTAATACTGGTCAGATTTTTCCACTATAAAGTTACTTTTTCCACTTTCCATACTGCATATTTTGGAAGGAAGTTAGTCTGTGCAGCCCACATGTAAGGAGTGGGGAATTATGCCTTTGTCCTTTCTACATAAATTACTTGAAATTCTTTTATGTGGGAGATCTGTTACTTCTCACTCCATTTATTAATGTATTCAGACATTCATATCAATATGGACTCATGGATATATATTTTATACTTTGAATTGTAATCTAATACTACTTTTTTTGTTGTTCAAATTGTGTTGGTTTCAGCCAGTGGGAGCTCTTTCATTAGCTCCTTTGCTCCTTTGAAATATCTCCATCAGTGTATTTTTGTTTTTGAGCACTTCCTTGCTTCCTGGCATTATATGATGCCCAAGCTCATGTCATATATGTCTGGCCTCACTCCTGTGATCAGTCATTTCTCCAAGGAGCCCTGATAACTTTTATTGGAGAATGGCATTAGAAACCAAGATCTGGGCACTACATGTACTTATTGCTACTGGAGTGGATTTATTTTAGATACTCTCAACTGACAGAGCAAACAAATTGTGTTTATATTACCTGAAAAAAATGTGTGTGTGTGTATGGATATATATATATATATGCATTTCTGTATGTAACATCTATATCTATATTAAGCTAGACATTAATTCATACTAATGTTTCTAACTCAAATCCATTACTACATGGATCATTTTAGCTTCCTCTCTTTGCTTATCTGTAAACTCCTATACCAACAGTAAGAAACGGGGCTTGCAACTGGCTATCCATTTACTTAATAGTTCCATTCCAGTATGCATTTGTACTAGAATCAGAATTGTTAATCTATACTGGTGAGTTGGAATTGACTCGACAACAATTAACAACACCCCAGTGTGAAAAAATTTTATGAACTAGAGTAGAGTGTTATATTCAATTCATTTTGCTTTCCTCTTAAGCCACTCATTTACAGAGTTACTTAGGTCAACACCTTTTCAAGATAGGGGAATTTTTGTAGCCATATATACCAGGCCACCAGAATCTCTGAAATCATAGTTGACAACAGTTTATCGTGCAACTGGTTTAATAAAGGCTACTAAGAATTCTGATTATTACAAATCAATTCTGAACTAATTTAGGTCTTTGTTTTTCCCCCTTAATAATCCAGTAAAGCTATAACTTTATAAAAGGTTTTTTTTAAATATAAAATCACTGTTTATGGAGAGCAATTTATTCTAGGATAAAAAAAGAAATTTTAGGAGGCTTTACAGTTCTCCATCAAAGAGAAATGTAAGTTTCTATGTTTTCTATATCCCCTTCTAAAGAGAAACTTGAGAGGGAAGGATTGATACAGGAGCTTATTTCTTACTCTAGAGGCAAGCTTGTTTTGTGCATAGTATGCTCTAGGAATACAGAGAATGATGTGGTTTTGAATTCCCAGGGTCTACCCTACAGATAGAGGACCATCCTTTTTTTCCCAAAAATTTTATTTATTTTGTTGTTGATGAAGCATATACCGATTCAACAGTTTCTACATGTACAGTTTAGTGACATTGATTAAGAAATAGAGCAATAACTAGAGTATCCAGCTTATT